GTTCATTTATCCGCGTTAATTTGATGAATAAACTAAATATTGACCGGTCTTCAATTTTCGGTACTGATTTATTCTCTCATTTCTTTATAAGGCAAGAAAAATTGATACGAATCATTCGTTTATTCGAGTTAATTTGTTGAGTAAATTAGAGGGATAAATACCTGAAAAATGAGAACAAATTGTCATTGTACTTGGACAATTTTCTGACACTGATTTACGGTATTGATCGATATTCGATTTTCGATATTGATTTACTCTTTCATTTCTCTATAAGAAAAAGAAAAATTCATACGAATCGTTCATTTATCCGCGTTAATTTGATGAATAAATTAAATATTGATCGGTCTTCAATTTTCGGTACTGACTGATCCTCTAATTTCGTTATAAGAGAATAAAAATTGATACGAATCATTCTTTTATCCGACTTAGTTTGTTGAGTAAATTAGTGGGGTAAGTACCTGCAAGGTGAAAACAACTTGTCATTGCACTTGGACAATTTTTTTGACATTGATTTATGGTATTGATCAGTCTTCGGTTTTCGGTACTGATTTTTTTTCTCATTTTTTTATTAGACAAAAAAAATTGATACGAATCGTTCGTTTATCCGAGTTTATTTGTTGAATAAGATTAGAGAGGTAAGTACCTGAAAAATGAGAACAAATTGTGATTGCACTTGGACAATTTTTTGACACTGATTTATAATATTAATCAATATTCGATTTTCGGTACTGATTTACTCTTTCATTTTTCTACAAGAAAAAAAAATTCATACGAATCGTTCATTTATCCACGTTATTTTGACGAATAAATTAAATATTGATCGGTCTTCAATTTTCGGTACTGTCTGATTCCCTAATTTCTTTATAAGAGAATAAAAATTGATACGAATCGTTCTTTTATCCGACTTAATTTGTTGAGTAAATTAGTGGGGTATGTACCTGCAAGATGAAAACAACTTGTCATTGCACTTGGACAATTTTCTTGACATTGATTTATGGTATTGATCAGTCTTCGGTTTTCGGTAGTGATTTGTTTTCTCATATTTTATAAGACAAAAAAGAATTGATACGAATCGTTCGTTTATCCGAGTTAATTTATTGAATAAGATTAGAGGGGTAAGTACCTGAAAAATGAGAACAAATTGTCATTGCACTTGGACAATTTTTTGTCACTGATTTATGGTATTAATCGATATTCGATTTTTGGTACTGTTTTACTCTTTCATTTCTCTACAAGAAAGAAAATTCATACGAATCGTCCTTTTATCCGCGTTATTTTGATGAATAAATTAAATATTGATCGGTCTTCAATTTTCGGTACCGATTTATTCTCTCATTTCTTTATAAGACAAGAAAAATTGATACGAATCAGTCGTTTATTCGAGTTAATTTGTTGAATAAAATTGAGGGATAAATACCTGAAAAATGAGAACAAATTGTCATTGTACTTAGACAATTTTTTGTCACTGATTTATGGTAGTGATCGATATTCGATTTTCGGTACTAATTTACTCTTCCATTTCTCTATAAGAAAAAAAAATTCATACGATTCGTTCATTTATCCGCGTTAATTTGATGAATAAATTAAATATTGATCGGTCTTCAATTTTTGATACTGGCTAATTCTCTAATTTCTTTATAAGATAATAAAAATTGATGCGAATCTTTTTTTTATCCGACTTAATTTGTTGAGTAAATTAGTGGGGTAAGTACTTGCAAGATGGAAACAACTTGTCATTGCACTTAGATAATTTTCTAACGCTGATTTATAGTATTGATCAATATCCGGTTTTCGGTACTGATTTACTCTTTCATTTCTCTATAAGAAAACAGAAAATTAATACGAATCGTTCATTAATCCGCGTTAATTTGATGAATAAATTAGATATTGAACGGTCTTCGATTTTCGGTACTGATTTATTTTCTCATTTTTTTATAAGACAAGAAAAATTGATACGAATCGTTCGTTTATCTGAGATAATTTGTTGAATAAGATTAGGGGGGTATATACCTGAAAAATAAGAACAACTTGTCATTGCACTTGGACAATTTTCTAACGCTGATTTATGGTATTAATCGATATTCGGTTTTCGGTACTGATTTACTCTTTCATTTCTCTATAAGAAAGCAGAAAATTAATATGATTCGTTCATTAATCCGCGTTAATTTGAGGAATAAATTAGATATTGAACGGTCTTCGATTTTCGGTACTGATTTATTCTCTTATTCCGTTAGCCAATAAGTCGGTTTTCCTGTGGAATGAAATTCACAACCAAGCTTAGGGGCCGTCTGGAACAGGTCTTTTCCTTTACTTTCCTTAGTAAGCCTCGAGCCCCAATGAACATTTTTCGCATTAAAATCACTCCCCAGGATGAAACGTTCCTCAAGATGTTTTAGTAAATTTAGGTAGTCTTCCCTTTTTAAGTTATATCTTGATGGACAGTATACCGCAGCAACTGTCAGTAAATATTTTCCAGTTTTGATGAGGACTGAGGTCGATTGTATTTCTTCGGTTTTATATTTTCCCCCTTCTGTGTGGGCTATTTTGTCTCTAACTATTATTGCAGTACCACCTCTTGCATTATTTTACGGGTGAATAGTATGATAGAAATGATATCCTCTGAATTTAATGAAGGATTGCTTATTGAAGTGTGTTTCAGAAATTAGACACACATCAATTTTCTGAGTGTCAAGGGAAGCCTGTACTTTGTGTTTTCGCTTTATTAGACCATTAGAATTCCAGGCAGCCACTCTTAGTTGTTTGAAGTTAACATTTTTCCTTGCCTTTATTTTTTCTTAATTTTAGAAGCTGTTTTTCTATTATTTTCCTCTGTTTTGTCAATTCTTTCCGCAATTGTTTTCAGTGTCTTGTCTTGCTGTTCAAGTTTTTCCATTACTCTAGCCAGAAATTGCTCCGTCCCTAGCTCGTTGTTTGACAATCTTTCGTAATTTTTCTTGCTGCTTCTTGCTACTTCAGCAAATGTTCTTCCTGGCGATACTTGAGTTTTCACCTCAGCATTCCTACCAATGTTTGTTTTAGACAGTTTATTCTTAATTTTTTCATTTCTCATTAATTAGATTTTCTTTGCTATCTCACATCCTCTATAGCTAGCTGGATGAGCTCCTTTGCAGTTTGTGCACTCCTTACCGGAGCACTCCTAGGATTTTTACATTCCGAAGTGCGATGTTTACCTGCACATTTCACACATCTCGGTTCTTTCATGCAGTAGTTCTGGGTGTGCTTATATTTTTGACACTTCTTATATTGCGGAACTAGTTTCGTTTTCCTGATTGGCTCGATCGTTACTTTTGTACCAAATATGGTTTTGATCTCATAAATTTTTTGGAGGTCTTCCTCATTTTGAAAAGTTAACATGAATAACGGCAGGGGACTTTTGTCTCCTCTCTTGAGTATGTTTGTTGCATCTACTATTTTATACTCTCTTCTTTTTAGTTCTTGTATAATTTTTTCTGTTTTGAACGTTGGTGGGAATCTCCTAGCCATTACTTTGATTGGTCTGATTTGCTTGTTTTCGAATGAAGACCATAAAGCTAAGACTCCATGCATGCGGTGAGCTTCGGCAAACCTTCCTGCCAGGAAGAGCTGCGGTGACCAATCAGGAGACAGACGCATGCCGGAGCTTGCCGCAACCGGACTTGCGCCTCCCTCCTGATTGGTCATCGCAGCATTTGCCGCAGCTCACCGCATGCATGGAGTCTTAGCTTAAGTAATTCTTATTGTTTAAAAAGCTAGTTAGTCTTCTATAGTCATCTTCACTGACCGTGTTTAGTTTAACTCTATCATTGTTCATAACTATTATGTTGACGTTAAATTTGTTTTTAATTAACTCCTCATGCAGTGGATCAAACTCCTTTACCTGATTTAGAATTATTGGCGGTGGTAAGGGTTTTTTATGTTTTGGCTGATGAGTTTACTCCAGATGATGTTTTGTATGGTGCTGCTGGGAAGATATTACTGGAGAAGAATTTGCTTTCCTTTTCTTGTTACTTCTCTTGTTCCCCTTCGCGAGTATCCATCCCGTTTCTCTCTCGTTCCTCGTCATCTGTGCAGTATTCGCTTTCCTGCTGCTCCTGAGAGCTCATTTCAGTTATCTTCCCTTGTTCCTTTAGTAGCTGATTTTATTTTGTTTAGCATTTGTTTGTTTTGCTGTTGTAATTTCCCAATATTGCTTTTGAGTCCGGCCTTTTCCTTCAACTTAAAATATATATGCTTACGTATTTAATACATATATATATATATTATATATATATATATACGCATACATACATACATATATAACGCATAAACATATATATTTTAACGATTATTAAACGAGGAAACAATTTTAATGATAATGTGACACCCCAGCTAATTTCTTATACAGCGACGGGCCTGAATGCACCGCGATTGTCACCTCGGCCGCTGAGCGCGGAACAGTGCGAGGGGATAGTAGGCGCCACCTACTGAATTTCGCTCGAAATGTGCAGATCGTGTCCAGCTCTGCTCTATTCTATAATATACTGGACACGAACTATAGATGGACGAACTATAGATTTTTAGTACTAGGAGTGGATATCGGAACGCAGCTATAACTTAGTATCAGTTTAGCAGTGCACATTGCAATATGGATAAAGATAATAAAAACGTACATTATATGAAGCAAAAGCGAATGCTCTTGGCGCAGCTTATCGCTGAGGAGGTTATCGAAAAAAAAAATCCTTCGTCAGAATCAATTAAAAATTCGTTGTCCATTATCCTTTTTTTCCTTTATATTTCAGTTTGAAAGCGCGACATCACAAGTAAATGGGACAAAAGTGAGTGTTGCAGGTTATGTTTAGTTTATTCTGCGCATCATGTGCTAAAAACTTATTGCACTTTTGTGCATTAGTTCAGAAGTGCAGCGAAAACGAACAGATTTAAGTAAGGTAACATGTCCTCCTCAAGAAAGCTCGTGACTTCCCTTGAGAAAAGAGAGTCAGTAAAGCTCCTTGCTTGGTCAAGGAAGATTTATGAAATGTAAAATGAGGAATAAGGTATCCTTATTTCTCAAGGAAGGACTATGAATACGGATATTAGAGAACTAATCCGTACTTAATCACACATATGCGACATTTGCTGCTATTTAAATTTTGTCCCCAGTACTTGAACCGGAAGTGTTTGATTTCGAATTAAATAAACATGTGATGTGTGTACGTGTGCACATTACGTACTCAATGCCATTGAGAATCACTGCGTGGCGTATGATAACACAAAAGTACAAAGTATAATCGGTATAATCTTTATGAGAGGTACTCGTATCACTTAGGTCAATTTGCGTAGTGGTGCAAAAGTTAGCTGTGATATGCATATATATATATAGCACAGATTGTAATTGACAGTGATACGCGAGGCGCGACTGTAGAGCAGTTTTGGAGCACGTCTCTGATTCGCTGTTACTTCCTAGCTGTTTCTGCCTACATTTCTACCGTGATATTCTAAGCATTTATTATATTATTACCATCGCGAACGTTCTATTTAAAGGTGAAACCGAGGAAACGTTTCACCATCACTCGTTGCGTTAAGTCGCTATCGTTCGTAGTTATTTCAGAGCAACGACGGCAACATGAACAGCAGATTTACCGGGATTAAACTGGGACCTCCCATTGAGGTTTTCGCACTGCAAAAAGCATTTGTCGACGATACTCACGAAAAGAAAGTCAATCTTACTATAGGAGGTATGTACGATCATATTATTTTTTTGCAAACTAAAGCATCTGTCATGAATACAATGTTAAAATTGCATTTTATACGATAGATATGTATATGCATATAGCATATACATATATGCATTTGTAGTTCTAAAAATATAGTATTTGTTGCCGGCTGATATTTATAAATAATGAGTATAAAATGATAACGTGCAACATATAATTATTATTTCTATATTTTATACTTTTGTTTCATTTTCAGGATGATTACATAACAGCATTCATGCATGTATATCTATATACACAACATTTATATATATAGATTTATATATATAGATTTTTTTTTACATTATTATTTTAAATAATAAGTAAATGAGAATGAAAATAGCTCTAACCAAATTCTTCTCATTTATAATATAAACTTAATTTTTAATTTAAATACTACACATATACATATACGTGTATATGTGAGTGTATGTGTGTGTATGTGTATGTATGTGTATAACACATTAAAATTATTATATTTTTATAAAATGCAAGTATGAACATCATTGATGACTAATTTGTATTTTTTTTTCTTAACTGACTACTATATTAAATCTATATTACATAGTTATATTATATTGCTCAGTACTAAAAAATTTGTATTCTTTTTTAGCTTATCGTACCAATGAAGGTAAACCATGGGTCCTACCAGTTGTAAGAAAGGTAGAAAAGTCGCTTGCTGTTGATGAACTACAAAATCATGAGTATTTGCCAGTTCTTGGTTTAGATGCATTTAGCGAGGCTGCTACAAGTATGTTATTGGGTGCAAATTCTCCTGTTATCGCCCAGGGGCGTGCCTTTGGTATTCAGTCACTTTCGGGTACAGGGGCACTACGTGTCACTGCAGAATTTTTGAGTCATATTCTACAATATGATACTTTTTACTATAGTAAACCTTCTTGGGGTAAGTAAATGCAGATAGTAATATCAGTAGTGTCCCACTTGATAGTGAAAAACTGTCTCATATATTATAAGATTATGTGCTGGCAGAAAATCATAGACTGGTATTTACTAACGGAGGATTTAAACATGCTTGCGAGTATACGTATTGGGACGAGAAAACGCGCAGTATCGACATCGAAGGTATGCTCAATGATCTGAAAAACGCTCCTGAGAACGCTGTAATTATTTTGCATGCATGCGCACATAATCCCACTGGATGCGATCCGACTCCAGAACAATGGGCTAGGATTGCTGATGTGATAGAGGAGAAACGGCTCTTCCCGTTGTTTGATAGTGCGTATCAGGTCAGTAGTAATTTTCGACAGCTGACGTGATCATCATTTACTTTTATGATATGTTCACGTAAAAATACGTCGAATCTCAACAGGGTTTTGCGAGTGGTGATCTAGACAAAGACGCATACGCCGTACGAATGTTCGCTGAACGTCAAATCGAATTCATCTGCACACAAAGCTTCGCCAAGAACTTTGGATTGTACAATGAAAGAGTTGGTAACATAGTTTTCGTATTGGCTGACACGAAGGAGATAGTACAAGCCAAGTCGCAATTAACATTAATCGTCCGAGGAATGTACAGTAATCCTCCTAATCACGGCGCTCGAATTGTCGCGACGGTGCTGAGAAATCCAGAGCTCTTTGAGGAATGGTATTATTCATCCTATATCTCTGTATTTTCTACAAGATCATTCTGATGCTTAAATAATACGATTCAACATTCTTAGGAGGGAACATATCAGAACAATGTCTGATAGAATCAGACAAATGAGAATAGGTTTGCATCACAGACTGATCAAATTAGGCACTCCAGGTGTTTGGGATCATATTGTCCAACAGATTGGAATGTTCTCGTACACAGGACTTACTGGTTAGAGTTATACATTTATTTTTCGAATTATGTTATTTTCCTCCTCTGTAAACAATTACCCTAACAGCACAGATGTCCAGAGGACGTCCAGAGTACGTTTTAAGGACGTCCTGGGGACGTTTCTTCATCCTCAGGACGTCCATAGGATGTCCCCAGGAGATCATGTGCTGTCTAGGTACGAACAATTACAAAGAAGAAAACAATTACAAAGAGGTTTCATCAAATACTTTGTTTTAGAAAAGCAAGTGCAGCATTTGAGAGACCATTATCATATCTATATGCTACGCAGCGGCCGTATAAATATGTGTGGACTCAACGAATCGAACTTGGATTATGTGGCAAATGCGATCCACGAAACGGTAACATTATTGTCGGAAGCATGGGGCGATTGTATGTGTTAAAACACTCGAATCTCAATATCATGAGTACAAATTAAGTCTCGGGTCTTGTCATTGAAAGAATATAGCAATATTTTGCAAATGACCAAACTTAGTCCAGTCAGGGAGATGATTATTTTTGGGTAATATTTTGAAATCCGTTACGCGAAGTCGTGCAGTCTGCCTTCATATTTGATACGATAAGTCTTCCCATAAGTGTCTTTTAAGGACCTTCCAAAATCAAGAAGTTTTGACAAATTGTTCTTCTCTTCCTCATTTTTGTCACGAACATTCAAAGGCCAGAAGTACAAATTGTTACAAAGTATTAGAAGATGCCAAATTTCTACTACATATTAATTATGTCACTATTATAAGATTTCTTTTACGTACAGTGCAATTTACTATTGAAGGTTTATTAACGGTTATTAACTAACAGTTACCAACTACCCAGACAGCACATGATCTCCTGGGGACGTCCTATGGACGTCCTGAGTATGAAGAAACGTCCCCAGGACGTCTTTAAGACGTACTCTGGACGTCCTCTAGACATCGGTGCTGTTTGGGTGCAGACATTGTGAAACAGTTTATTAACAGAATATTAAAAATATATACGTATATACATACTTGTATATATAAAATCTTTTTATATATATATGACTATGTTTAAAAAAATTTATCCAGAGATTTTATACTTTAAAATATTTTATTATATAATTTCCATCATACACAACTATTGAGAAATGTTCAGGTAACTTTTCAAAAGATAATATAATATTGCTATCATAAAGATAAAATGTATCTTTCCATGTAAATAACTTTTGTTCTTAATTAAATAATTACGCTTCCTTTATCTGAAGTATAAATTTATTTGCATTAAATTTAAAAATACTTTTATCATATTTATGATACAATGATAATAATGAAATTATTACATAGTAAGATATCACTTGTTTGTTACTATAAATTAATAGTATTATTTTATTTATCTTTTAGCATGTGCATGAAAAAAAAATTAGATTGGTTTTGCTTCATATTATACTGTTGATTCTTGAAAAAGTTAAAAAAGGAAATATGCTTGTAATATTTAAAACTCATATTGGTGCTATAGAATTAAGTAAAAGTATTATAGCTCATTGATATTCATTGCTCTTTCTTCAACATTCACACAGTAGGCTTCCACATTTATTTTGATAGCGTATGTATGAGAACTAAAACTACGCAGTATATTAAAGTTTTATCACAGTAAATACATAGATAAATATAAGTTTAGTACTAAGAAACTTATATATGGAGAAAATAACGTTATGTTAAGTTTGCATGATAAAGCAGCTAATAACGTTGGAATATATATTTTGTGATAATTTTTTAGTAAATCAGAACCAATTTTTATATTAATCGTAGCCAAGACTAACAAAGAATAGTCGCATGATAAAAAACAAAGAACAACATTCTGTACTGCCAATATGCCAAAAATCTCCAATGAAAGAATTTTTTAATCTATATAATCAATTGCGTATATTGATATTTTGTAAAAGAATTTAAAAATTTTTGGTTTATGGATTAATATGTCTATATGCATGTTAATATTATAATCTTTATAATAGTGTTACACAGAGTGTGAGTAATATAATTTGAACTGGAAATACTATTTTTATTATATAATGTAATATTATATAGATATCATAGGTCTTTGAGTAAATAAACGTTTTCAAATAAAAATTTAATTCCAAGATATATTTAATTTATATCAAATTTTATACACACATATACACACATACAGGTAATGTACACTCAAATTCATAATTATTATTTGGAAAAATCCACATTTTTCATTATAATTTATGATTTGTACAGAACATACAAAACAAATAATTTTTCTTTAATCTATAAGAGAACATATAAAACAAATAATTTTTTTTTTTTAATACAATGTGCAATTATATTGAATTTATCAGATTTATGTAACATATATAGGGTGTCCCATTTTAATGTCCCACCCCAAAAAAACTCTTCAGTATTGAAGTTTCAAGGAAAATGATCTGAATAAAAGTTGTAGGAATTTAAGTGAGCTATCTTCTGATGATCTTAACTTTGACCTTGACCTCTATTTTCAGGGTCATTTGAAAGTCAACTTGCGTTTTTTAAATGGGAACCCTTATTTTTTTATTACACTGTTCTTTTTTTACTAGTTAATTTGAACAACTTTTGTCTAAAACATTTTTTTATCTGTCTAATATTTTTTGAGATATTTGAGGAAAATTGATAACTTTTTCAATATTTAATTTACGATATCTCGCTAATTATTTGTCGGAAGAAAAAGTGGTATTAGACTTTCTTGTTTTATTTAGTTTCAAGAATATATTGTTATTGAATAGCGCCCTGATTTTTGTTAATTTGATGATTTTGGAATTTCCAAAAATCAGTACGTTAACAAAAGTAAAAAAACAAGGCGCTATTGTTCCAGACATAAGCCATATTGAACAACTATCTCTAATAATTCGATTTGCTGACTTGTCAGATGACAATATAAGCATAAAGGAACATTTCCTAGAATTAATTCCTGTCGATGACTCTAGTGACGCAGGGCTTACGGAAATGATTCTAAATGTGCTAAATAAACACGGACTTAAAATGCACAATTGTAGAGGTCAGGGATATGATAACGGAACAAACATAAAAGGAAAAATATTGGTGTACAAAAAAAAATCTTAGATCTAAACCCCTTTGCTTTCTTTGTACCGTGTGGCTACCATAACTACAATCTCATATTGTATATGTTATAATTATAAAACATAATATCACATAATAAAAACATAATAAAACATAAATTATAGATATTTACCTTTCCACCCAAGCGTGGAAATAATACGTGAGATATCGTTTTAAGATATGACTTCTGCTTTAAAGTCTTCTGAAAGAGATGGACGAGATGAATCATCAGCTGCAACAAATGCACAAGTCAATAGCTGCGTTCAGAAAACACAACGGTTACACAACGGTTGAGTAATTCGTCAACGTTATTGATCTGAATGTAAGGATCTAACAGTAAGGACTAATAGTTACTGAGCGCTCAGTGAGCGCTTTGTTTTCTGAACGCAACCAATGGCTGCATTCAGCAGACTCAACAGTTGGACAACATTACTAGATTTTCCACTGAATCTCGCTTCTGATTGGTAAATACTTCTGGGTCTATGAAGAATCTAAAAGAATGCTCCAAGCACAGACAATAATCACTAAGCGCTCTCTGATCACTTTGTTCTACTGAACGCGGCCAATGAAACTTAGACTGCGTTCAGAAAACACAACGGTTACACAACGGTTGAGTAATTTGTCAACGTTATTGGTCTGAATGTAAGGATCTAACAGTAAGGACCAATAGTTACTAAGCGCTTAGTGAGCGCTTTGTTTTCTGAATGCAACCTTAGGCATAGTCGCCCCCCGCATTTCAGCATAACTCCCCTCGCCTATTTTACGGGCTTATGCTCTGTCCCTATATTTCTATGGGCCAGAGCACAGACTTCTGCATAACGCATAATACACAATGCATAAGAGAATCAACCAATTAGAGTTCTTCATTTCTGTCCTGAGGAGGGAAATGAAGAAACCTAATTGGTTTATTCTCTTATGCGTTATGTATTATGCGTTATGCAAAAGCCTGTGCTCTTGCTCATAAAGTTTATATTTAAAGTAAACTTTATATCTAAAAACATATTTAGGAACTAAAGACCGCGATTTTGGAATGATCTTATTGCCATAATTTTTGTCAAGTCACACGATGTTGAATTTTACTTCTTTCGTGATCAAGAGAAGCGATTCTTCAATGTGTAATATTTCTCTACGTATATATGTGTGCGTGTATTCATTTATTATTTTACTTTTGCATTTTTATCAATATTTCTGATTACCATTTTTCTAATGCTCCATGTTTGTTGACAATTTAGAAGACAGTTGACCGTTTAAGAATGGTGGTAAATGATAATATTTGAGGTATTATATTTCAACCTCTGTTGATCATTATTTTTTCATCTTTCAATTGTAGTATCTTTTGAAGAAAATTAGATACGATTATGTAGTTCAAAACGTGTGTTTTATGTACATAGTTGTCGTTTCTTACACATGAGTCGTTGCGAACGCAACACGGCCATCTCAGGCTTCTCTCCGCTAAGGCATGAGCGAGGTTAAGGACAATATTTATCGGCGAAGTTATCAAATTTAATCGGTACCCTTGGCTCATCTCTCAGGGGAGTAGCGATGAGGATCAATCGTCAGGGCATGATCAGCCGCGTCATGTAATGGTAACGTGCTGTTTTTAAGACTGCTCCTCGTACATGCGTGCGCGCGCGCGCGCGCGTTGTTTGACAGCTACATCGACAGCTACAACGACGACGACGACGACGACGACGACGACGACGACGCATTGACAACGGAGAACATGTTCGTGCACATCTGGTCCTTAATATGTTGGTACCTGAGGCCCTTCGTCAAGTGGTTCCTGCGTCAGACTACGCAGATGTGCGAGCTTCAAAGGATTTGTTATGGTCAGCCTTCCGGAGCACCGCGTGCTTTTGCCGTCGAGGAGTCTCTCAGGCGGTCGCGCGATGCAAATATCCGGACTTTAGTCACATATTTGAACGATATCGCCGATCAACGCGGGATTAGCACGAAAACGGAGCGCAAGATCCTCGAGGAGGCTATCAGAACTGTGCTGGTGACGAAGAGGATCAATCCAACCGCTCACCCGGACTTCGCCAAGTCGTTCGGCAAGTGCGTGGAGTTGATCTGGGGTTACCGTCAGCTGTGCGTGGAATGTGAGGAGCTAAGGAGGATGCCGTACAGTACGGACAATCCTGAACACGAGCAGTTGTTACTGAAGCTGTGGAATCTGCTGATGCCGTACGAACCGTTGGACGCGAGGGTGACGAAGCAGTGGCAGGAGATCGGCTTCCAAGGGGATGATCCGAAGACGGACTTTCGCGGGATGGGCATCCTCGGGCTCGAGAATCTCGTTTATTTTGCTCAAGAATACCCGAGTGCGGCCACGCACGTGCTGTCGCACTCTGCTCATCCGCGTTATGGCTATGCATTCGCCATCGTCGGCATAAACCTCACTAGCATGGCGCTCAAGCTGCTGAGGGACGGCAGTGCTAAAACCCACATATACAATTCCTCGAAAACGCTGCCGACAATCCGTGCCTTTCATCAGTTTTATTGTTACCTGTTCTATGAATTCGATGGCTTTTGGATTGAGTCGAAGCCTAGTAATATGATGGAGTTCTCGTCTATACAGGAGAAGTTCGAGAACAGCATCAGAATTGCATTAGCTAATCCATCGACTGTTTTTAGGATAAACGTGGCAGTTGACAATATTTAATACATTAATACAAATGCCTTTTACATGTAAGACAAGACCAAAATAACTGCGTACAGGATGAGTACAATGTTTGAGCTCTCATATACACATACACACACGAAAATTTATTTTTTATTATATATTTTTCACATTGTCGGCTTGATTGTGATATTAAGATGGCATTTGAATGGATAGCGAGTAGGTTTCTCTGTTGTAGAGATTTCTGCTTTTCCTTTAGCTATGTAATATAGTTATTAACATGTCGATGTTATATATCCTATAGCAATTGTATTAGAAAATTACAAGTTTTGTTTCTCGTTTTTATCTTAAGAGAATTCATATAAATTTCTATACAGATAAATCCTATTTGTGAAAATAGGATATGAAATTCGTTGCTTTGTGTTTAGTTCAATTATTTAATATTATATGTATTATATATTATATAATATTACAAATTATATGATATAAATACATATATAATATATTATAAAAAGTTAAAGATATATACATGGTACATATGTAGTTCATGCTCATGTGTATATGTATAATATATTTGTATTTATTCATGTAATTTCGTCAACTTTGAAATTTCTAAATGTCTTTGTTTGTGATTTTATGGACACTTTGTTCATTGTATGTCTCATACATTTTGTTATTTAATTCTTCGAAAGTGTATTTATATTCAGGGTATTTAGTGCAAAGAAAAAAAAACATTAAGCTAGAATATTAATATAACGTAATCACGCTGTTAGTTTTAACGAGATCGAGACGAAAATTTATTACGTGAATACATGTGCATATGGCACGGATAAATAACATAATAAATAACATAATAATTTGAATTAATTATGAAAGTGCAAACCGTTGTCGGATGTGAAACTACATGCTCATTTATCCGATAAAGAAAATTATATTATCGGATGTTAAGGAGGAATTAATGAATTCAGTTACTTAAAGTAGTCTGACAGCCTGAAATCGAAAATTTTTACATATCCAAAGTGTGTACAATTGAGCACATATTTTTGTAAAAAGATTATATATACTTTATTATACTCTATTGTTTAACATTACATATTACACAATGATTTTTTTTTATGATATAATTTATTTACAAGTTCATACGTTGCAATCATACAAAAATTACTTGGATTAGAAAGCTATAACTAATAATAATATCTGAAGCAATAGAAGTAACACACTATTACATATGCAATCGATGGAATGCATTGTGCACAATAGCTCAACAATAAAAATCTTTTTCTTTTCTCGGCGAAACAGACCTAGTAGCTTGTCTAATATTAATTAATTAATTAACTCCAATAATATCGCTTTTCCTTTTTTAAATTCCGATGTCGCTACACGAGTTTCCTATGCAACTACTCAAATACCCGATATATCTTGAGTAAAAAATATATCTATTTTATCATGCCGAGATTAATACAAATATTTGTGCATTAGATTGTTACACATAAAATGCGTCGGCGTTCCTCGCTCACTATTATTCGAGTAACTTCAAGTTACGAGAAAATGTTATATGCACTTAATCTTTAAGTTTCACTCGCCACACTTCGGTTGAAATAACTTTCTGATTATCTAAAATATAGGGCTTGAGAAGCTTGTTCCAAGAATAGAAATATAGATTTGTAAAAATATTATTATTATTATTAGCACATTAGCTGCCAATGTGTCACCAGTGAGTACATTTGGCATAAATATATATATGTATATATAACTCGGAGGCTAGTACATACGCCGGTGATACATAGATACAATCTACGTAAAGCAAGTATAAAATTACGTATTTAACGAATGAACATGATGCCGATTCGTGTAGCCTGTACAAGATACAATTTTTTGTATTTATACAACTAGATAAATTTTGTCTTTGAATTTGAATCAAGCAACCAACGTGTCAAATTGAGAATTTTCTTCGCAATTTTACATGCAATAATCTAACGTACAATCGAAAATATTATCTTTTACCACCGTTAGATAGTAACTGGAATATAGAGAAACGATCATGTATCTTTGGCAAATCAAATGCAGTAGATCTACTTCTCCTTTTTCTGCGCAGCCTCGGGCTTTTGCCTGCATTTTGATGCAACTGTAATAACAACTAATACTCCGATACAAATACTGCCTAGTTTAAGTACCCATGGATTATCAAGAAGAAAGTTTGCAATAATTTGTACAAGATTATCGCTGAAAAGGAGGAAAATAATAATAATACATTGATGCGTGTAATCGATATAAGCAAATGAGGATAAATCTTTAAACTTACAAGGGACTTTGAGGCACAGGGACTTTGTCTGCTTTCACATTTTTGTACCATTCTTTGGCAAATGACACAAGGGAATTGATATCATGCCTTCCTGTTTCGTATCGGTACATCTTGCCATGTCTGAAACTATATAAATACATGGCGAAAGGCATTAATATAATATGTATCAAGCCGTTAACTTTTATTTATATCTCACGTATGCATTTGTAATGTTAAGTATCGTGCATAAGATATTACACACGCCGATTTATATCTATGTATGCTTACAATATAAATTGTGGAGTATCATAAATATTAAATCTCCTGGCTGTGGAAGCTCCAGTTGTGGATTTATTGATAAGTGCTACATTTACTCTCTGCTTGAGCTTTGCAGCAACTGTTTCCCATCTTGCAATCATACGCAAGCATTGTACACAGTCTGTGCTGTAACTGATGTTGCGATGTCGTTAGTACTGCCGTTAATTATAAGAAGGTTAATCGATTGCTATAGATTGTATCTAAATATAAGACTTACAACATGACAAACCAATCGCCTGTTGTAGCGCCGCTACTCGCTTGAGTTAAATGCTCAAATGTATCATCTGTGAGTTCCTTCACTGCAGGTACTTTATTTTCCGTAAACATAGTCAATATATCGTCGTCATTCAAACGTCCTAGGGAAGAGAATGTAACATAAGAATCTATAGTACAATTATTATGCACATTTATATTGCACATATGAAAGTATAAAGTACATATTTAGCAATATATCATATTTATATAGGATGATAACGAACAAAATGTATCATCACAGAGTAATTAAATGATTAAAACATATTCTAATGTAATTCTTATTGCTGGCTGAATTTATATTGTACCGTCATATAACAAAGGAAGCCCGTGTCTGAAGAAAAGTAGAATTGGTTCTTTGTCGGTGCTATACAGTTGTAATAATTGACTATCGACTGCCTTTACAATCCATGCTGACAAGGAATCTACCAAGTCTTCGCGCAAGTGGATCAACTGATTTTCATAGTTTTCACATTCTGGACAATCTTTCTTTGCTGTGAATATAAGATTGTTATTATCAGTGACGGTAAAAGATATTCTTAAGGATATTCTCTGTTGTCTTAGTAATTAGTAGGAAGAAAAAAAGATTGGGAAGAAAATGAAAATTTATGTAACATTTTATGGCTCATATAATATTCATTGAGAGATCATTTTCAAGTTGCTTACACAAGTTACATTACAAAGTTCAATTTAAAACTGAAAAATATCTTGGAGATTGTAATTAAATGTTTTTTATTAATTTATGAAGATAGAAAAAAATAATATTAGTGTATAATCTTGTTATTTTCTCTTTATATATAGTAGTATTTTCATTGATAACTAATCAAGTTTTAGCATTTCTCTAAAGGAACATCAGACAAGATTCAGAGAACAAAACAAACTTACTAAATAAGACGACTACATATTTTTCGGTCTTTATGAGATTGAGAAGTTCTTCATCGTGCACCGTCTCGAGACTTGCAGCATACGCGCCGGAAGAAATACATACTGCGATTAAAAACGCTATTTGTAACATTATTAACTTGCTCGAGACAAATAACGATACACAGAGTTCATTCGCCGGCGAATTGGTACACGTCAAACTTGGTTCGTATATGACCATAAAATAAGCGAGAAGCACTGAGAAGGAATACGTGTCAGGTTTGTAACGTCATGCTGCGAGTAGTCGCCATTTTTCCAATGGCGGGTACAGTTTGAGATGTGCTATGGGATATTTTGATTAAAATCAAGCATATATTTTTTAATTGATTGATATAATTGTGTTTACTTTTAGATGCATTAATTGTGAATTTTGATGTGAATATTTAACAAGAACTGTGTCTAATAAAGTATTGATTCGTCGGCCACTTTTATACTTTGTAACAAAAACGCAACAAAAAGTAAAAGAAAACAGTAAGTTTTTATATGGAAATATGTTTTTATATTTAATATATGCCTTATAACATGTAATTTATAACCCATATAGTACAGAAAGGTGCAGCGATATTGTTATAACGTTACGATAATGATGCAATATATGAAGCGATGTTGCAGTAATGTTGCTGCAACTTTTGTGTATGGGAATATTTTCAATAGAGTTTTATAGTAGTTACGATTCATTGTATAGCAAATTTAATCTGAAAGATTTTATCGTAATTTATAATATTCTCAATAGTATTTTATAGTTTTATTTATCCCCTAGCGAATCTATTCTAAAAAATTCTAGTGTGAATAAGAGGTTCCATGTTTATCGCGTAAGCGTGGGCTTTAATTAATCACAATACTTGTCTCTTCCAACATCAGCAAAAAAGGAGCGACATAAACGCTTACAAGAACACATACTAAGAGAGAAACTCATACAGCACACAAAATTGAAAAACGTTGTTGCAACGTTGCTGTAATATTGCAACATTGCTGTAATATTGCAATATTGCTGCAACTTCTGTGCTATATAGGTAAGATATTTTCTTATGGAGAAAACTGTGGTCCAACTTTAAAAAAGACATATTTTGTGCTACATATGCATGTTTCTCTGTACATATCCGAAAGAACCAAATATGTCGCGTCAAGCGGTTGCTAAGTATACAGGGTGTCTCAGACTACTTGAACAATCTCTCGTGGAGATATAAAACGGGGTGCGCTCGTTCATTAGATTTTTGTTATTAATAACTCGATAATTATTGCGAATATCGCAAAACGGTGTGGAACTTTTATGATCGTCTTAATCTGTTCTATATCTTCACAAGTTCCTAGTGCTGAGTTATATGAGACAATCTTATACAATACAAAATTGGTACGTCGAATAACCAAACATGTTAGGTGATATGCTATACCAATAAACCAAAATAAAATATAGAACCGCGACCGTCAGTTGCTGGATCCGTCGCGCGGTAAGGGGAGATAGGAAGCATAGCTCCCGAAAATCGGCCGAAAGTTGTAAACTTTGCCGAGCTCTGCACTAAACGATCCAGAGTGCGGATCGATGTAAACGCCGATATCTCTATTTCGAGATGTCGTAGTGATTTGAAACAAAAACTGTTGTAAAAAAGGAATTACTACGATTCGATAGACACGAAATCGTTGTTCGGTGAATTCAAAATCAATTAGCACCACATTATGTAAATGCGAAAGACACCGAGCTTTATGTTTATGTTTTCGAAGTGAAAACTAATCTATGTTAAAAACCTATAAGATATCTAAATTTCGACTTTTAATGTAAAGTGTGTAATGTAAATTAAAGTTTATTTAAATTACAGTAAATTACAGTTTTATTTTAAATAAATATAGAGTACAATTTGAAAGGAAGGAAAAATAATGATAATGAGGAATTTATTCTATTTTGGTATATTTAAGAATTGATTTACCAATAAATTTTGAATGTTAATTTGTTTTATAAAATTATATAGAAAAAAATAATATACAAACCCTAATAGCACAGATGTCCAGAGGACGTCCAGAGTACGTCTTGAGGGCGTCCTGGGGACGTCAGGTCATCCTTAGGACGTCCCCAGGAGAACATGTGCTATCAGGGAAAATTATAGACAAAATGTGGATATATATAATATATTTTATCAAGATGCTGTCATATTTAAGTATTATAGAATTTATGCTTCATATGATATATTCAATGAGTGTAAGTCGTCCGTGTCCGATTTTTCATTAAAACTCAAGCAATAATTTGGCATGTAAGATTTTTTTTAATTAATAATGTAACCGACTCTGTTTTCTACAATCTTTTCTCAATGTTCTGGTAGCCTCGATCATAAAACGATGTCGGTTTTAACTTGAAGAAGGAAGAAAGGTGGTTTTTGATGGTTTCAAAAGAATTCTTTTCCTATTTAAATTATTTTACAATGATCGAAAACAAGTGATGGTCTGATGATGCGATATCAAAAGAATACGGTGGATACAATATGATATTCTATTTTAATTCCTTTAGTTTGTGCAGGATTTGTTTTGTAGTGTATAGCTTTGCGTTGCCGTGGTGAAAGACGATTCCCTTACGATTGATTAGAATTGAATGCTTCTCCTAGATTGCTGTCTTTAAATGGTCTAATTGTTAACAGCACTTGTCAGAATTAATTGTTTAGCCGACATGGAGCAGCTCGGAATAAATTATTCCTTTATAATCCTATGAAATAGAAAGCATCATCTTCTCAGGATGCAATTTGGCTTTTGCAAATGTGTTTTGCACTCATTTACTTGTTTCCAAGTTGGACATTAAGGTATAGAATCCATTTTTTATCACCAGTCACCGGTCGACCCAAAAACGAATCTTCATTCAGTTGGCCAAGCAAGGAAACAGCTGCAGAAACTCGATTCAATTTGTTCGCTTCAGTTAGCAAACGCGGCACATACATATTGAGCTTCAAAATGTACCCAATCTTTTTCAAATATCGAAATGCGGTCGATCTGTTCATGAGTCTTTCAGCAACCTCTCCTGTTGAAATTTGTGAATTATTTTGCATTCAATTGCGTGCAATGTCATTATCTATGCCAGAAGATCGACATAGATAATGACAGGATGTAGCTGGTCATCAAGGTGAAAATCACCATGTTTAAATTTCTCAAACTATTTTTTAACAGTTCGAATTGCTGGTGTACGGATTTAATGGATATCTTAAATGTTTTTTTACGACGGTTCCAATTTTTCGAAACTTATAAAGCATAACATGTCGCAAATGCACTTTTTTTCGCTCATTTAAAAAATTTGTTTTCATAACGTAACGTTCGATCAAAAAATAAGTTTTTCGCTCAAATGACTCAAATTGAATATGTTACTTTTCCAACGATATACGATACATATATATAACAATCACTGGCGCTATCATACAACTCTTCCAATAACATCTATTGGAATCGGAAACAAACTTTTGTACTCGTCCAATAACATGTACGTTTGAAAAATAAGTATACACACATAAAAATAGAATATTGCATATCTTCTTCTATATATTAGAGTATTATAAGAAATTCACATGTAGAATTTGTACGCAATCTTTTACAGATTAAAAAAATTAGTAAACTTAAAGATAGATGTTCAACATAACATGTTCAACATAACGACATATAACGTTTTTTATGCTGATGAATCAATAATTAATTGAACTTCTGATTGAAAAAAGCGGTGTACAATGATATATAGTCAATAGATTTTGATAACTATCTCGTTTGTGCAGAATTTCGTGAACTGCCGGGGGATGTAAAAATGTAAAAAAATTATTTTATCTCTAGTAGTAATATTTTTACTTTTTCCAATAGTGAAACAATAAGAGAAAAAATATGTACGAAATGTTTCTGGATAATATTAAAAGTTTTTCTGTATGGAATTTAACATTTTCGTATGGTAAATATTATATCAATAATTCATATATACACAATATATATATTTATACATACCTAAGTGATGTGTGTACGTATATATCTTGGAGGTAAAATATTTCGCTAATTAATTTTCCAAAATAAAAACACAAAGTTTAAGTTAGTTAGTTTGTTTAACTTTAAGCTAATTTTCCTCTAATAAAATCTAACATTCTGATATTAAAACATAAGAAACTAACAAATGAAATTATGAAAGAAGAAATGATACAATCAACTGAGGTTTTGTTGAAAGAAAACTTAGCCTTCAATGGGATAAAAGTCTTAATAGATACATAGAATAAAGTTGACCAATATTAAAATTATACTCTACCAAATCTAAAACAAACAAAAGTGGAACAGCGAGCGACTCGTTAATTACAACAATATAAAACACGTCAGTACAGAATATTCTGGAAATAACTAGAAACAATCGCCAATAATTATACAGACGCTGTTGCAACTTTTTCCCTTGTATATTAAGAAACATTTGAGAATACTCATCAAGTCGATGATCACGTCGATCTGAAACTTTTTACTATCCTTTATTTCAATATTCTACCTACACTGATCTTTATTCTCAATTCCTATAAACAATATATTAATTAACTGCAAATAGAATATGAAGGGCAAACAAATATTGTATAATTAATATGGGTGTAATTAGAGTTAATAGAAAATAAAAGAACACATTCATAAAATTAAAGAAACCAAATAACAATCAAAGAATAAATGTTCTTCTTTTAGAATCTGTTATTATCTTTTATTAAATAATAATCGAAAATTTCAATAGAATTTGATTTTTGTGACTTTTTCGAGCAATATTCTTTCTCGAATCAAAAATATGCATCGTTCATTGATAGGCGACGACGTTAGATAATTGTTGAGCGATGATTTTGTTCCTCTTGAAAAAGTCAATTGTTCTTTCGTAAGCTGTAATATTACGTTTCAAGCTGACAAGTGATGCACATATTGCGACGCGAAATATGTAAATATATCGTTGCGTTAGTTATAATTCCCATCGACTTGTAAAATATTTAATCAGCTTCTCGTCAGTATCGCGTTAATTTAACACGTGTTTTACAGATTAAATCGTATTTACGCGAGTATCGGTTTAAGTGAATAAATGAGTGAATATCCGGAGTTCCGCAACGAAACAATCGGAAGCAGAACTGAATCGAGAATTCGAAACGAAGAATGTAGGATGCCGGGCAGCGATACATTATATATATCTTCAAATTATTTATTATATGAGATATTTTCATTTTTAACGGACATTTGACGAAGTTTCGGAGAATAAAGAGATAAACGAGTTAACATTCATAATGTGTTATCATTTAAGAAGTAATTATAGCTTCATGAATCTCTGATTATTCGTTAACTTGTATTTATTTTATCTAACAAGAAATATTGATTCAAATGTTGTCCATAAATACAAATTTGTAATTAATTTTGCTTTTAATGCTATCAATCGAAGATTATGAATATAGAAGGTTTACTTGTACTTACAGGGTGTTTCAGAAATAAGTGGCTAAATTTTAAGATCATATTCTATTCCCTGTAAAGATGAAAGAGATCATATAAATATATCAGATCCAGAAACGTTTCTTTTTCAAGTTATAAACACTTTTTATCGAGCACATATACATTTGTTTAATCGCATTCCTCAAGAGTTTCTAAATAATAATTACAACAATAGATGAATTGGCAGAAAGGACCCATTGCTTGGCCTGTGCAGGATCTCCCTATTTGAATCCCTTGGATTTTTATTTATGGAAACATCTTAAGATTTTCGTTTATGAGACTCCTGTTACTATTGTGGAATCACTTCGAAATCGTATTATCGCTTCATGTGACAAAAATACAAAATACGAAAATATTCCAGGAATTTTTGAACGCTTTCGATAATCAATGAGACGTCTATGTGTCTAATGTTCTAATTAAAGTCTGTTGTAAATAAAAAGTATTCATAACTTAAAAAAAAATTTTTGAACCCATGTTCGTATGACCTTTTTCATCCTTAGTAAATAAAGTATGTTCTTAAAGTTTGGCCGTCTATTTCTGCAACACTATATATATTTCTCCAATCATCGATAATGATTTTATTATTTCATAGATGAGTTATTTTATGACGCAAAATCAGAGAATTATCTGAAAAGGAAGAGAAATTAGTGGACAACAAATACTTTTATTGAATATAGCATATATCCTATTTCACACATTATTATTAATAAAATAAATATGGTTAAATATCTGACAAAATGCAAATATTTAATAACATACAGCTGCGAATGCTAGTCGTGGAATTTAATGTTAATTTTACAGGTACTGATTAATGCGTTTAATAACGACTTTTGGATCGTAAGGAATCCCGTTTTGGATCTACCAACGCTTCTTGTGTTTATTCTTATTATTGTACCAGATCGAAACTTAAATCTCTATGACGTGTATAGCGCATACTTTTCTCTTCCTCCCTCTTGCATTTTCTAATTCCATGAAGATTTATAACAATCAGAATAAGATTTAAAATAATCAGAAAGAAATCAATAAAGAAATTATAAAAAAAGAAAATCTCATTATTTATTTATATCTTATATTTTATTTGCTTATATATATTTCTCATATTAATTATTGATACTTTGCGCTTAAATAAGATACTCAGTTAATACAATTCTTACTGCAAATAACAATAAAAATTAAACGCAGGGATGGAATATTAAAATAATTGTATATTAAATAGTTAAAAAAAAACAATACCTCTTAAATCTCAACATGAAAGAAAACGGCAACAAGTAACTTTTGAATAGCCTATATGGTGTTACATTTCAAGCTGCTCCACTGGTTCTTCAAGTTTGACGAAATTTGTAGAGTTAACGCAGAAACGAGGTTTCGATTCGAGTTATCGAGGGATGCTTCAGCGATTCACCCGACACTAACTAAAATCGTTGTTACGCTCCTGACGAGGGGCCGGGGGCGAGGGGGGGGGGCTGGTAGGAAGTCGAAGGTTGAAGGGTATAGCGATAGATAACAACGATGGGCACACAATCATGCATGTACGTGGCTGTTCACGTAGCGAAAATTGTGTGCTGGCATGTCGGCGAACGCCGGGACGTCGGCGACTACCGCAACCCCCGTTGTAGCCCTAACGAAGGCACGAGGGTAGGCAGTCGCGTGTTCCCGTCGTCACGATGCGGTCAGTCAGTCGCGCACCGTAAGAATGTAATCGGCTCACCGAATATTTCTCGCTCGCACGTCCGTCGCCGTTCTCACCGTGATGTCACGCGAAATACCGTAACGTCATCGTGAGTATATTTCGCAAGTCCCCATCCCTGCACCCCCGCACGAGCCCTATGACACCCGGTAACACTCCGCACATCCGCCTTTAACCGATGTAAGCGATCACCATCACGCTGTCGGAACGGACGAGGCGATTGTTCGCATCCCGCGATAATATTCCACCCCAACCACGTTACAGCCGGCGATCGTGCCATCCGTTCAGTTATTGACCGTAAGACGAGAAGTATTGATCGAGCGTTTTCTTCGAGCGACATGCACCGCGCTATCGAGTTGCTCTCAGGAGCCAATCCGCTGTAATCGATAGTCCACGCGATAGTCCTCCTGTCGTCTCTTCTGTCGTTCCGCCGCCGGTTAGCTGATTTCTTCGAGTCGACGTGGAATTTATACTTGATCGTTATTACGCGACTCGCTGATGAGAATTCTACGCCGGGACTCTCGGCCGCTCGTCCGGGATTGATTATTATTATCAGCTTAGCGGCCTCAATTCGAGCTCGAGCCATTCGAAGGGACGAAAGTAGCGTACCTCTCGGCGAGGAAGAAAAGGGGAAGGTGAGGAAGTCGCTCCATCCTCGATTTTAGCAACCCCGTCGTTCCTCCGCGTCGCGCACTTACCCGTTTTACGATTTCACCCTGCGTTTTCGTACGCGAGCAACAAGCGAATGGCAATCGAGAGAGACTCGAGCGAAATCTCATCGACTGCACCTCGCTATCGCCGCGATCTCGTCGAACTCGACCCACGCATTACGCGATGAATTATTGAAGGAAAATCATTCTCTTTTTCCTTCCCTTTTTTTTTTCGTAAACCACTGTCGAAAAGATCACCGCGTGCTGACGTTTCGTACGATAACGGATGAAACGGGCGTTTTCACTTACGACACGCCGATTAACGCGACGCGATAAGCGACGCGATAAGCCGCGAAGCTGTGTGACGGCGTGGTGCGGTTTGCGCGATGCAACCCGGGATAATATTAACGGCGGGCACAATACGCCGGAGGAGGTGTCGTATCGTCGCTATAATAGCGCTGTTTGCAGCGAGACAAGCCACCGTTTTTTTCGATCATATAATCTTGCCCTTCGTTTTGTTCTTTCTTGGTCTTTTTTCGTTGCAATTCTCTTCTCTCGTTTTCGCGCGATAATCTCGCATACAACCGACGGCACTCGGCAGTTCACATCTAGGACTCGGTTTTATGGTCAATTGCACCGTTGAGCACGTTCACAGCTTATTTATGGACAAGTGAGGAGCGCGCGTGGTAACGCGGGCTCGTTCGTAAACCTCGCCGCGCTCACCACGATCTGAATATACGGATCAGAAAATAGAGGGCGATCGTTCTGTTCAGCAGCGAACTGTGTGTGCTTATTCCGATTTCGCGTGTGCACTCGTCATCGTCGCCGTTACTATACTATTCCGTTTTATCTTGAAATGCCTTTTCTAAATATTGGACGCGTTACATTTCAAGATAATAATCATTGAGTAGAATAATATGACTTGTATTCGTAAAACAACAGAATAATATAGACAGTTGTAGTCATTTTTTATATCACCGGTAGACTGTTAGACCCGATTCACATTATCAGTTCGCTCACGATTATTGTAAAATATTCTTCCGCTATTTGTACTATATCGGTAACGCTCAAGTTTCGGTCTGATCTTGCTGTGTACGTTATAAACAACGGAAGAATATTTGATCGGGCTGAGAGCGTAGCCGGATCGTGGGCGGATCGATATTGTGGATCGGGCCTTAGAAGAAGGCAATCAATTGTTAACTTCACGGTCATTGTATATTATTCAATTTTAGCTTGAAATAACGCGTTTTATAAATATATGGCGTATAGCATTTCAAGATAATAATTATTAAAATAATATGTCCCGTACTTATAAAACAACGGAATAATATAGATGGTTGTAATCATTTTTTATATCACTGATATCACTGAAGATCTATTATATCTAATCTAAATCTAAAGATCTAGTATTATATCATATTATATTTTATTAATTATTATATTAATTATCATTAGTTTAAATTAAATGCCTGATAAAAGGATTATTTCATTTCATAGAATAAATAAAATATAATTTAAATTATATTTTCACTTATTTATATATAATAAAAATAATTTATTTCATGTAATTTCAAAAATGATGATTTTTACGTTAATACATAATTTATTTATTATTAAATGAATATTAATAATTATGTAATATTTGTCGTAATTTTATAATAAATATTTTTTAATTAACAATTATTAATTAATTTATTTCTCATATATTAATGAGTTATAATTATTTATAATATATTTATATATAAAATCTTATCAATTAGTAAATTATACTTAATAATTATTAAGTTATTATATTATTCTTCATTTATTTTTATATAAAAATGATTTGTACTTTTCTTATATCAGTGATACTTATATTAATAATGATTTATAATAATGATTTAAAATAAGTATCTTTATATTATTAAATATCTAATTATTAAATATATATTTATGTAAAATTTATCTATTTTATTATTAGATAAATAATTATTAAATTATATTAATGATTATTTAAAAGAAAAAGATTAGAAAATAAAGGAATTTCTCCCGATCTGATAGAATTTCTCCCAAAGAGGACGATCGATTGTTAATCTTATGCTCATTAACCCTTATGACTGCTTATAGTTATATATCTCTCCACTGGTTTAATAAAACATGAATGATATTATTGATAGTTTGCTATCGAGCGTTAAGTATTTTAGAAAGTGGGTTTTGTTGCGTAGAGTCATTTGTAATTTATCAGCCGGGAGCTATATAATGGCTGTGTACGGACTAAGTACCAGTTTCGGTATTGGTGTCATTCGATATTTCAAGCTCGAGGATAGAACTGGCCTTTCGTAAGAAATACAATGTAAATCAAGGCGCACGGTAGTCGTTTCGTCGTTTCGCTGCTAACGTACATGCAAATATGATACTCGACAAAATAACAGAATATACAGTAGAAGTCACGTCACGATTGTTTTCGGGCGACCGGTGGAAGTGATCTATATTAAACATGATTCGAATATAAATTATTTATATGGTCTCTATTTTTATTCTAATATAAACGTGTATTCTTATTAATCGCGCGTCGCGTTTTTATCTTCATTTTCTGCCTTCCAAATAAAATGGAAAACCTCGGAATATAAATCACTCACACAAACAAACACATACGCGAGCGCGAATACGCACAAATAGACGTGGTACTTTTTTCATGCGGGAGGTGCGAAGAGAGAGAGAGAGAGAGAGAGAGGGGGGGGGGGAGAAAGCGATGCGCTAAGAGCACTCAGGCTCTAAACGCGATATTCGCGCGATTCTCGTGATTCTCGTGAGCATCGACAATCTAATTCGCGATTGCATTTTTACGCGGGCGTGTAACTGCGCCTGAAACGCGACACGTGAAATTAAAGCATAACTTAAGCGTCGAACGCGAATCGGCCGACAGAGCCCCGGGGTTTTATAAAGGCGGAATGGAGCCGCCCGGCTCAGGCAGGGACCGAGAGTGAAGGGGCGAGGGTGAGCGCGAGCGACTCGTTTTTATATCGGGAAACGATATATAAAACCGGATGTCTCGATTACAGCGCGCGCGCATGGTGTGTCGTAGCATTGGCACTCCCATTACACCGTCGACTACATACGGTAAACCGGCGGGTATAACCGGCGGCGTGTGTCTCCCGAGGGAAGAGTAATATCCTGTTAAATCGATAACGAATGATGACAGAAGCACGTGGCTGGCGGCATGCCGCCGTTTGCCGTCTTGTCGTCCCGTATTGAGAGTCGCACTCGCCCCCGGCATTCCATATTGCCGCACTCTCGATCCAAATGCATCCGGTGCATCGTGTTCGGGAGTTTGATAGTCGTTTTGCGCCCGTGATTATGGTTATCATCATCATCATCGTCATCACCATCATCATCAGCATCATCATCATCATCATCATCATCATCATCATCAACATCATCATCAGCATAATCATTATCATCATCGTCGTCATTATCATTGTCATGTTTATCTCACCCTGATCTCACGACTTTCGATACGCTTGTTGTCTCTCTTTCTCTCTTTCTCCCTATCGCGTGCACTTTTTTCTCTTTCTTTTTCTTCCTTTTCTTCCACGTTATCAGAGCCTGCGGTGGGCACCGGCGCGCAAATGGCGCAGGGGATCCTCGAAACGGCATATGAGCCAGGCATCGAGGAGGAAGCGAGAAGAAAACGCGAGCGTCGGGTCGTTCAGGAGGGCACGGTGCTGTGGAGACGTCGGAAGGAGGAGCTGCAACGTCAGAAGCATCGTGAACAACGTGAAGTATGTGTAACATAAATAGGCGGTCCGGCTGTCCGCGTCGCTGCCACTTGCCCTTCGTTGTGGGTTGCTAGTCGTCCTTAACGTCATTGTCCTTGCTACCATTGTTGCTGATCGGATAAAGCTCGACTGTAGAGAGAGGGAGAGGGAGAGGGAGAGGGAGAGGGAGAGGGAGAGGGAGAGGGGGAGGGAGAGGGAGAAGGAGAGGGAGGGAGAGAGAGAGAGGGGGGATGGGCCTCGGAATACGGAGGGTCCGTCAGTCTTGGTGAAGCGAGATCGGTTTATCGAAGCAAAAGCGTCCCTTGATTTTCAGATTAATCTGCGGAGTACGAGTTTCTCGAATACATCGCGTTTGCTCGCTTCAAATGTTCAAGTGATTCTCGATCTCGTATAAGTATTCCAGTCTAATATTGCGTCAAGCTTCGAAAATAGTCGCGATTCACGGAATAAAAATATCCAGTCCATCCATTTCTCTCTCATATGACCAGAGTTGCACTCTCTCTTTGTAGGACAAGAGCGAATATTTAACTGCGTGTAGTAGCTATGCGAGTACGCGTGCGAGATACAGAATAAGAGTATTGAATGAGAATACGTATATATTTTTCTTCAACAGGAACAAAGTGCGTGCTCCGCACACATACGAGGGTTGTTTGATAAGTTTCAAGCCTGACAATGAAGCATTTATATTTTTGGGCAAAATGAGTTTTAATTTCAATATAGTTTTCTTTTAGCTTGATATATTTTATTCATCTCTTTTTTAGTCCCCTCATTCCGTCAACAAAGTAGGTTGGGTCAAGCCCTGCAAAATTCTCGTTGGCGGCAATCACTTTTTCATTGGTCGTGAACTTTTTTCTCCCAACCATTTCTTCAGTTCGGAAATAAAAAAAATCGCAGGCGGCTAGATCAAACGAATAGGAAAGGGGACCAATTCGTAGCATAATTCATGCAGTTTGGCCATGCCAAACGATTGCAGATGTGTGAGCTGGTGCGTTGTCCTGGTGAAAAAGCACCTTTTTCTTCTTCAAATGCCGTCGTTTTTTTTTGCAATTTCTTCTCTCAAACGTTCTAATAATGATGTATAATATATACCAGTAACAGTTTTTCCTTCCTGAAGATAATCAATGAATAATATGTCATGGCTATCTCAGAGAAAGTCGCCATAACTTTTCTGGCCGAGCGAAATTTCTTCGTTTTCTCGGAGCAGATTTCGCCAATAATCACGACGCAAAAAATCCTTTGAATCCCTTTTGAACCGGTCCAAATATTCCTTTGAAATATTATGTCGAAAGCGTTTTTGATCCACTGTTACCGAACGCTACCCATTGCGCAGACAGTTTTCTCATATCCAAATCTTCATGTAATATTTTGAACGCACGTTCAGAAGATATGCCTGCGGCATCTGCTATCTCTCTGATCTTTAGTCTTTGATTATCCAGTACTATTTGATGCGCTTTGTCGACTATTTCCTCTGTCGTTACAGTTTTTGGGCGATCCGGGCGCTCATCATCAAATATACTTATATAGCCATGTTTAAACTCGGCAACTTAAACTTTTACCGTTGAAAACAAAGGAATAGAACCATCGTGAGCAGAATCCAACTCGGTTTTAATTTCCGTTTTTTCCTTTTAGATTCAAGTATTTAATCATGGAACAATATATGATTTTTCCCATTGTTGTTGAAAAATATACCTTAGTTGGCTGGATCAGTGATCGGTCTTGTCTTAACTTTCAAGCCTCATAACTCGGAAAGTATAAGATGGTACAATGGAATTAAAATAAAAACGTTTCTGAATGACTTCCAATTGTACCAGATAGCAGCAGGTTGCTTTGTTTTCAAATGTGGTCTGTTCTTTCTAGCTACACTGCTAAACTGGTGCAGCTGAAAAGAACAGATCACTATACAGGTGTGGGCTCAACATGGAAAGCATGAAGAGGTAATGTTTGCGCTTCTTTCTTAATCTAAGGTTTTACTTATAAGTTTCTAACCAGTAACATCATCTTCACGCTCAAAACTTATTAAAGAAGCCATCTATAAAACATAAGACAAGAGCAGAGATTTAGCAAATATAGCAAATAATAAAAAAAGATAGTTAAAAATGAACTCGACACGAATATTTGAGATGAACTTAAATCAGTCGAGACAAATATGAAAGAGGATTCATCAATAGCATGCCTGAATTAGTTTCCGTGATCTTAAAATATATTGTGCTCTTTCAGATAGAAGAGACAGAAGATTTAAGAACACATGATCTTATCGATTATGAAGGCAAAGGAGATAATTTACATGATACTTATTGGTTTTTTATATAGTACTTTTTTAGATAGTAACTTCGTCAATCTGAGTTATCAAGCTCATAAATGTAACTATTTTTGCAACTATATTGTCGAATTCGGAACGGGGAATTACGTGCGCGCGAACGATAATAAAGCAACGAGTATCCCGTAAAAATGAATTTGCATAATTTCCGCTTAATTATTTCGCAAGAAACGCGCCGCGAAAGATAACACAATAATCTATCATGGTCTCTCGTTGCGCTTTATATACATATAAACTATACGCCTCGCGCTCGTTACGAGAACTCGCAGTAACGAAGTTGTCCGCTGTCCCTTTAAAAGCGCGTTGAGCTCGCATCAGCGAACTGATCATTCCCGGAAGTGATTGCGTAAGGTGAATCACGATCAGAAGAAAAAGTCGACGTCACCGTCGAATGATGAAAGAGCCGAACTTGCGCGAACTTTCGGAAACTTTCGGTGTACTTCAGCGCGAATATCAAATTTCGAAGTGATTTATTAAGATATTATACTCGAATTATAGCCACACGCTGTTCTCTAACAGAATTTCTTCCCATTAACTGTGTATTAGTTTTGTCTACTCTTGAGATTGTGTAAATTTAATTTCAATTTAATTAATCTGAACTTTTTAAGGGAGAACAGGGAGAAAGATTTTTTTTGCGTCGCTTTTCGCCGAATTTTCCGCGTGGTTCCCGCACATCACTTTTATCTCTGCATACAGCATTTACACTTTTATTATTTTTATGTTTTATATATCGCTATATAGCGATGCGACATGACGATGATGCTCGATCATCAGCAGCTTGTTTCTACATATTTGCGCTGCACATATGCTCGTTACATTCATTTCCATTCTCTGTGAAAATAACAATCTGCATGGAATATATTATAAAAACACACGCGTGAGGTATTCCGTTCCTCCAGTCTCTCTCTCTCTCTTTCTCTCTCTCTCTCTCTCTCTCTCTCTCTCTCTCTCTCTCTCTCTCTTCTGCTACCGATGTGCGTAACGCGTCTGCATGTATACTTCACTTGCCATCACGCTGTCCCAATCACTCAAAATACATGCCGAAATTATGAAAATTCAAGCACGTAATTACTGCTTCGCTGATTATTTCGTATCGCTAATTTGCGCGTCAGTCGTATTAAATCGTATTTACCGTATTGTATTTACTGCGCGCGTGCTTCAGAGTTTATCGTTACCGGTATGCTAATCAAAGGGCGATGACATGTACTCGTACCCCTTCTTCTCGTCATTCGACACTTTTCTAGTGCGCAAGACTCCCGTTTTATGGCAGATATAGTCAGACAGAGAATTGGATCGAACGCACGATTCGTTTTAACACTTCCACCGCCGAGTGTATTGGAATCGACTTTCTGTTTACGCCGATTGTTCCAACAGGATAACGTGCATGTAATCATTTCGAAAATTTTAATAAATAGAAATGTTCAAATCTGCTTATCCCAATGCACCTTCTCTGTTTTATATATGTTTCTTCGTTATTGTTAAATATAATTACAATGTAAGTAATTGCGTGCTACATGTATCTTAACATATGACGAATGACGAGATATCTCGCACTTCATATTGCGTTAGGGCGGATTCACACCTTGGCAGAAAAGCAGAAAGCAGAGCAGCAGAAGCCAAAAGAGAGACAAAAAGAAAAAGTGACAGACTGATAACATCTCTCTTGCAAGAGAGAAACAGACTCTCAGCGCGAATTCTGACTGGATGCTTTCTGCTTTCTGCTTCTTTGCCAAGGTATGAATCCGCCTTTAGAGGTCGCATACACACGCACACACGCATATACATATATATAGGGTGCCATCGAAAAAGGTGGCCAAATTCGGTACCGTATTCTACTCTTCTTAAGCATGAAAAAAGGTCCTGTGAACATAGGTTCCGGAAACTCTTCCTTTCTAAGATATAAACACTTTTTTGTTTATGATTGAGTATTGTAGGAATGTTTGAAACTTGGTTAACACGCGTGTTATTAATCAATCTCGACATCAATACCAGTTTTTATCTGGTTCTTATCAGATTTATCATCAATACAATTTTTATGCAACGTGTGGGCTGGAATTATGGGGGACTTGCTTATTGGACCAGTTTTTCTTCCATTTATACTCAACGGTAGAAATTATATACAATTTTTGGAAACTGAATTTTCGACACTATTACAAGATGTACCATTGGCAACACGCACTCGAATGTGGTTTATGCATGATGGAGCTCTAACCCATTTTAGTCGAACTGCTAGAGGAATATCTTAATAAAAATTGCACCAATCGGTGGATTGGTAAAAGAGGACCAATTGCCTGACCTGCACGTTCTCCTGATTTAATTTCTTTGGATTTTTATTTGTGGGGACATCTTAAAAGTTTAGTCTATGATACTAATACTATTGATAGTCTGGAAACACTGAAAAACCGAATTATTGCCGTATGTGACAAAATTCGGAATTCACCAGGAATTTTTGAAACGTCTTTGATAGGCTTTGCAACGTCGATATGATGCGTGTATTATCACAAAAGGAAATCATTTCCATCAATTTCTTGAAGTAAGCTTTAAACATTCCTGCAATACTCAATTATAAACAAAAAAGTATTTATATCTCGAAAAAGAAGAATTTCCAAACCTATTTTTATATGATCTTTTTTCATTCTTAGGAAGAGTAAAATACGGTACCGAAGTTTGGCCATTTTTTTCGGTGTCACCCTATATATCAATGAAGAGCGGATACAATGCAGTGGCAATAGTTAAAAGTTTTTTGACAACTTGTAATGTGAATTAATTTTCTAAACCGCTTAAATATGGATAGTGACGAAGCAATTAACGATTTTGCAGAAATATTTGCGGACAATTTATCGGAAATACAAAGTGATGATGAGAATATAGATATTTTTAAGTATGATTATGAGTAAGTTCACGAAGTAAGACTGAGGTTGTAATAACTGTAAAAGAACAAAATAGAATTTCAAACAAGTGGAGTTTTGCTAAAAATAAATGCTTAGCATGACAATGACTTTTAACTACTAACAAATCAAAAGTAATCTGAAAATACTTGAAGCAAAGAAATAATTGGCTACTGGGTATAGTCAGTGATAAAATGTCTAGTCCTCGATGTGTTAACGCATGCATCATATGACAGTCATCGATGACCGTCGTGACGGGGAACACGTCGAGAGAGAGAGAGAGAGAGAGAGAGAGAGAGCGCCGGCGACTGATTATTAATCTGCGATTAAGATGCACCAGTTCGGCAGCGGCGCGTAATTCGCGTGAAGTGTGACTGCGCCGTACTTTACACGTTCCTCTTCATTTTTCCTCACAGCTGCAGGAAATTCTGGCCAGTTACTCGCCGTGGGGAAAGCCAGGTGGCGGTGCACCCTGTGCGGCCACTTTAAGGAAGAAAAACGTACCTCTGGAGCCGCTCGAGCCGTCCGCACCACCAAGGCCGAGGTGTTACAGTTTCGGTCAGGTAAAACTTAGAAGGCTTGTGAACGAGGGGGGAGGGGGAGAGATATTGTTATCGCAGTCGTCATTTTTCCTCTCATCCGCGCCATCGGCGGCGGCGCGCTGCATTTAACTTTACCTCACCTCGCCTCACTTCGCTTCGCAGCGTCTCACTTTGCTTCCCGCTTAATAGCGAAACTTCGCCCCGATCGAGCGTGCGAAACGCGCGAGATATGCGTCGACCGCGCGCGAAAAGTTTTGCGCTTGCTTACGCACGTCGAGCTAACACGAAGCGGCGCGCGTAACGTCGTGAGATTTGTTATTATCATGTTTTTAAACGTATCCGACCGCCGTTGAGCGGACCGCCGTGTCCTATTGTCCGCCGTTTAGCGGACAGTTTTCTGAAAACAAATGACAGTTAAATGCTCCACGGCGAGGAAACTCGCGGTCGAAGTCGCGTCTCGTGTTGCGGCGGACGAATAATTTCGTTTCCCTATTCGTGGATGATTTCTTTTTTTTCTTTCTTCAGCGCCCGTAGTGAGTTATGATTGCTATCGCGAGAAGAGTGCGATATAATTGTGAAAAATCGCATCGTTATACGGTTACGTCGTGCCGCAATTCTCGCGGATAGCTGTTCGCGTATCCAAAGAATCGTGGGAAACGGATCTGTCGTGTCTCGCGGGAAAATTACATCGCAAAGATATCATATCGCGCGTCCGTTCCTCGCGCGACGATTTTATTGGATGAGTGCGAAAGTTCGCGCTCGAATCCAACAGATGTCATTAGGAGAGTTATATGGTAGCGCCATTGATTGTTACGTGTACGTATTGCACATTGTTGGAAAAATGACATATTCACTTGTCATTTGAGCAAAAGACTTGCATGTTTTATTTGAATTTACGCTGTGACAAGAAATGTTGTGACAAGAAATTTTGGAAATGAGCGAGGAAGAGATATTAGGTGTTCCGGTTAGTTTTGAGGTTTTAATATAGATGGCTATAGTTACAAATCTGCTAGAAATATTTTGAAAGTTGGTACGTGTGCAAAGGAACTGAAGCGGGATGTGTCATATCGCCACCATATTCTTCTAATATCGCACCATATCGCAGCTATTGTTATACGTGTCTCGATCATTGCAAAACAATTTAAATGGGAAAAAATTCTCATCTTTGGAAACGGTCAGGAATCAGCTTTCTTCCTTTTTCAACCCAAATTGTTTCATGATTGACGTATTCGTATGCTACCAGAACGTTGAGAGAAGATTATAGAAAACGACGGCGATTACATCATTGCTTAATAAACAGATTTTACATGCTAACTTACTGCTTCAGTTTTAATGAGCAGCCGGACACATGAACTTTTGCAGTCATCCAATACATTTATAATTCCTGCGTACTCTCGCTTGCACCTAGATCGTGAACGGTACGCGTGAGGTTCGCGAAACGAGTTATTAAATTCGTGCGTGGTGCGCGTGCATAAATATGCGAGACGGCGTATGCACGAGACACGGCAGTCGGGAAACAACGTCACGCGACGATGTGTGCCCTGGCTTCAATCTTCTTCAAACAACGTTACACAGCTCGTTGTGATACGACGTTGCGTTGGAACACGCGTTACAGTATCCGCTATCTGACATTAGCAGCCCTACACGAGTAATCGCGAAATAGCGGCAATAGCATCCGTTCTTTCTCCCTCGACTCGTTTTTGCGTTATTTTTTATTGATATTAGGTGCTTGCAAAAATTCGTGTACGACATTAAAGCCATTTTATTTTTAATAACAATGAGATGAGACATATAATACTTTAATCGGTATTGGTCGTTGCTGTCGATAACCTTTTGTCATCTTTCGGCCGATAGTTTGATCCCGCCCCAATAAATGCGACTCATATTTTGAGGCAATCCATTCATCGACCCACTTTCACACTTTCTCAGCTCTTTGGAACCGTGTGCCAGATAGACCGCGTCGCTGCATCGATTTGAATAGATGAAAATTAGATGGAGCGATGTCTAGGGAATATCGCTGGAGAATGCCACAGAGTGCCGTAGAGTTCCGATCTAACTCGAGCAACGTCTCTTTAGTCGCCATAGTGACACGCAACTTGGCGTTGTCGTAAAGCAAGATGACTTTGCATCGATTCACTGTTATGAGAGGGCGTTTTTCCTTTATGGCTTGGTTCAAATACCTTGATTGTTGACTGTAGCGACTTCCTGGGATTGTCTGCCTATATAGTAATATTAGGTGTTCCAATTAGTTTTGAGGGATTTTTTGTAAAAGAAACAGGTTTATTTTTGAGAGACGTTAAATTACATTTTATTCAAAATATTCTCCATCGCTAGCTATAACTTTTTCTCATTTTTCCGGCAACAAGTGAATTCCGCGATAAGAGAAATGTTCGTCCTTCGAAGCAATATATTCATCGAGCCATTTTTATATTTTTTCATATAATTTGAAGTGCTAGTCAGCAAGGCTGTGCTGCAAGTGGTAATTGGAAGGAGCACAGTCTAATGAATATGTGACGTATGGTAGGACTTCCCATTCGTTTTCTTCAAATCGAAACAATAAAGCAGTAAATGTCGAAAATGCTCTTTATCACGCTCCATTTTCAATTGTGCAGAAAGTATGATTATGTTCGCGAATACACATGCCATGCACATGTCAAATTATTTGTAAAAATACCCAAGCTTTAAAACGGCGTACCAACTTTCAGAATATTTCCAGTGGATTTGTAGCTATAGCCATCTATATTAAGCCCTCAAAACTAACCGGAACAGTTATAGCTCATAATAAAGCTGCTACTTTCTTCCCACCACATGTACAGGAAAACCTGATGACCGTAAAAATTGCATTTGGTTATGGATATCGATGATTGGTTGGGATCAATCCATGACTTTTGTATTTAGGATTGTCAAAGTAGATCCATTTTTTAATCACTCTTAACTATTCGCTGCAAGAATATTTTTTGTGCTTGGTATGCAATGAGAGACACGACGGTAAGTCGTTTTGCAATCGCGTTTGCAGAAAGCTCATAAAGAATTCATCTTCTTTTTTTCCGGATATTTCCCATTGCTTTCAAATGGCGGAATATTGTCGATTCATCAACTTCAGCTACCTTGCAAGCTCTGTTGACGTTTGGACCGAGTTGTTGTCGAACAATATTTCTATTTCGTTGTTCTTCATTTTGTTTGAACGACTTGAAAGGCTTGTCGTTGGCATCGTAATTACCATTTCTAAACCACTTTCCGTAAACTGCAGCGAAGACAATATTCTCTCCATAAGTCTCACAAGTCAGTCTTTCAATTGTTTTAGCGGTAGTTTCACCTTGATTAAAGTAGTAAAGCAAGACAGTGAAGATGAACTTTATCTGGCATTATCTTCAATTGCGTTAAATGCGACGTTTTACTCGGAACTATGAATCGTCAACCATAATTTCCGGTCGCGAATATAACCAACATTTAAAAATTGAAAAGCAACTCAAAGGGTAACAATTATCAAGTTGCTGCTGCAGTCATTTATCTGTGATCTTACGCACTTTTGCAAGCACTTAATATTAATAATTATTATTATAGATATCCCTGATTTTCATTCGGAATGGTATTTAATGACACATTAAATTCGCACATGCATCGTGTATTTTAATGATTTTCATCGGCGTGAGTTATTTTCATCATCGCGACTAACGTATAGTTAATTGTCTAATCTTCGCTAATTTCATTCTTTAATTCCTTGGGTCAGCCAAAACATTTGCGATTTGATTTTCAATGCCTCCTTCAACGTCAAATTGATCGCTTTCTGCCAACAGAGGTGTTGGAGAGCGTTATTGAAAGATCAACAAAGCATTATAGACATCGAGTTAGAAGTACTAATGACGATGATGACTTAACTAACCGATGAATAATTTGATAATCGCATCGTTACCTTGCGATTCTTTAAGAGAATAATGAAATTTTCAACGACGGATAAGAGGTAGAAGAAGGGATTAGCAATCTGTGTCATTTCCATCGATTGTACACGCTCGCTTTCACAGGACTCCGCTTAAGCATGTCTCTTGCGTGGAAGTTTGAAGGAAACTTGCTTTGCTGACGTCAATTAGATTTCCAGCAAACAATGACATTACTGCAATATAATAAAATGTAACGTGTAATATAGCGTGGACGTTGCAGCAACATACATGCAAGTTACAATTTCCCATCCACACAAAGTTGCAGTTATGTGACATAAACATAATGAACTACTAAAATGTTATATAACCGTTGTATTAGTTAAAGCAATATAAAGCAATATAAAGCAATATAAAGCAATATAACAGTTATATAATTTGCTAAATGGTTCTATAACTGCAATATATAATTAATAATGTAACTGTATTATATAACTATTTCAGTCGTAATGAAATTGTAATATAAACACGTTATGAAAATATTTTTTAACAAACGCGAAACTTTGAAATAACTAATTCCTAAATTAATTCTAAACAAAAAACTACGTGAAATTTAGTGATATATCAATATATAGTTTTGACCATATATTTAGTAATACGATTTTTTTTTATAGAAAGAAAGGTAGTACTATAACCCTCCACTCACATTTTGTACAATAATTTTGTCAATAATCAATATTTTAGATGAAAACTGAATGGTTACGTTTGTCACAGTTTTGTTTAATTGACTATAGACTCAAATTTATGTAATATTTATTACTTAGAATGTTGTTTAAAAAAATGTGGCAATACAGCATGATGGTTCGGCGAGAAAATGGGGCGGTAATGTAGCTTCCTACTAAAACTGATATAAAAAATTGATTTTGTTTAAAATAACGCAAAAGCATGTTTAGTCACAAAATTATATATTTATTCAAATTAAATTTTTAGAAGGAAAATAATAATGAATATAACTGCGAATTTTTAATGTGGATATTGACTTGCTTGTTAAGAAATACAATCTGCCAGAAAGACAGCAGTGTTCCATTCCAGAAAAAATAATTAAAACATATTTTTAAAAATATTAGAAAAACATTTGAAAAACAT